AACTATCTACTCGTTCTTGTTTCCATTAGACCATTTGACTAAGCATACTTTCATTGAACTACTAATACATTCATCAACCATGTACTAGCCTATCAACTATCTACTCGTTCTTCTTTCCATTGCTTCATTTGACTAAGCATGCTTTCATTGAACTACTAATACATTCATCAACCATGTACTAACCTATCAACTATCTACTCGTTCTTGTTTCCATTACACCATTTGACTAAGCATATATTCATTGAACTACTAATACATTCATCAACCATGTACTAACCTATCAACTATCTTGGAAACAAGAACGAGTATTACACCATTTGACTAAGCATATATTCATTGAACTACTAATACATTCATCCAATCCAAACATCTTTCATTTAATCAACCTTTACTAGTCCAAAAATTATCCACTAGTTCTTTTTTTTCATTGGTCCATTTCACCGATCATACTTTCATCCGAGCATTAATTCACCCAATCAGCTTTCTTTAGCCAACTATCCATAGCATTTATTCGCTCTTTCTCCACTGTAGATAAACATACAAAGGAAAATTACGAAAATAAATGGATGGCAGAACATTTTCTGGAATGTTTTACAAAGTTCTACGTTTTTATTACGGAAATAAATAAACTTTAATTTGATGGAAATTCTTTATAACATTCATCTATTATTTTAATACGTTTCAAATACCTAATTAAAATTATAGTTTATTGATTTCTTAAAATTGAATATTTTATACCGATTTCATTATTTTCGCACAAGCAATGAATTATTACTCTATCGTTATCTCTTGTGGAACATGACCGATTTAAAAATCTCAGTCAAGGTATACAAGCTACCCTGTTAAACGCTTTATAATCAAACAACAACAAAGACGCCTAAAAACGACGCCAGTCCATGTAACACTATACTGGTTATGCGACGCCAGCCTACGTAACAATGTACTAGTTGTGCGACAGAAGTTCGCGTAACAATATACAAGCTATGCTTTTAAAGGTGCTTTTGGGAGCGACTAGCCTACTGGCGAGCTTGTCGGGCTACAGTTCGAAGGCCACTGAACACACTTCTCACTTTCAGCTGTGGGCGCGATGTAAAAATAACAGTCAATCTCAATATGTGGTTGAAAGAGCCGGACATAGCCCTTGTGGTAGCGGGTACTGCTGGCTGGTTACGTTTCCTTTGGTCAGTTTCTCAAAATTAGGGACAGCTATACCTGAGCCCTTGGGAGTATGAACCACTGACCTGACCGTTTACTTCCAATTTTAAACGTGTTATTGAAATAATGTCTAAAGCCGATTCTTATCCAATTAACAGTACAAGTTACGCTTTTAAACGCACTATTGAAATAACACTAGAAATGATCAAGCCAGGAAAATAATACAAGCTACGTTTTTCAACGCATTACTGAAAAAAACACACCTAAAAACGACATCCACATGAAAAACTTGATTTATCTTTCATAAAACAGGTTTGTCCATGTAGTATATACTTGTTCACATTTACTTGGATGATGTTTTTTGTTTCGGATATGTGATTTGCCATCACAGTTTAAATTGCTGTTTTTATACAAATAATGCGTAAAAAATTACACTACAGGTGATATATCATGTAAAATAAATGGATTATCACCTACAGATAGTATATCATGTAGAATAGGTGGATTATCACTTTTACATAAAACTTAATATGGCTTCTATTTCCTCAGACTTGGTTTTTTGTAAAGGAAAACACTATTCGATTGGGCAATAAATAAATAAATCAACACGTATAAGCGAATATAGAAATGGAGGACTGTTTCTTAACTTCATGTTTTAGCCGGTGAAAGTTTAATATACATAACACTCTGTTTTCTTTTTCTAGGTAAAGCCTTTATGAATTTTAAACTGTCGATCTAGACTAAAACTGAAGTATAAGCTTAGAATTCCAGAAAAAAAACAGTTGATTGAAATCTATTAATTTTTAATAGCTCATATCAGATGACGAAATGCAGAATTAGTGGGCTAATTTACTTAGGAAGTAATTAAAGTGTTATTTATAACACTGTTATTATAGCAATCAATGCGTTTGTTATAAAATAACCCTGAATTAATCAAATACTTTTGGCCCAATGATAAGGTTAACAAAGCATAAAGTGTATCACGTAAATGTAGCTGCACTGTTTAATATTAAATAATCCTGATTCGTCAGATACTTTTGGACTAATTGTACACTAATAAAACGTAAAATGTGTCCCGTGAACGTAGCTGCAATGTTTAATATCAAATGACCCTAAATTAATCAAATACTTTAAGACTAGTGGTATACCAGTAAAGCATAAAGTGTATAATGTGAACGTAGCTGCAATGTTTAATATCAAATGACCTTAAATTAATCAAATACTTTAAGACTAGTGGTATACCAGTAAAGCATAAAGTGTATAATGTGAACGTAGCTGCATTGTTTAATATTAAATGACTCTGAATTAATCAAATACTTTAAGTCTAGTGGTATACTAGTAAAGCATAAAGTGTATAATGTGAACGTAGCTGCAATGTTTAATATCAAATGACCCTAAAATTAATGAAATATTTTAGGACTAGTGGTATACCAGTAAAGCATAAAGTGTATAATGTGAACGTAGCTGCAATTTTTAATATCAAATGACCCTAAAATTAATGAAATATTTTAGGACTAGTGGTGTACCAGTAAAGCATAAAGTGTATAATGCGAACGTAGCTGCATTGTTTAATATTAAATGACCCTAAATTAATGAAATATTTTAGGACTAGTGGTATACCAGTAAAGCATAAAGTGTATCACTTGAACGTAGCTGCGATGTTTAATATTAAATTTTGAGTTTACCAATTTCTTTAAAATAATAAAAAACTATCGTGACCTTTGTTTCCGATTTGAAACATTTATTATATTAGTCGTTGTTGTTGTTTTTTATCAAAATGTACAAATTAAAAGACACTATAGAAATGCTTTGGCTCCTCAAAAAATAAATTCACATTTTAATTATAGACTGAACACTGCGCATTATCTTTGGTAGCTAAAACATCTGCCTATTTAGCATGACCGTGGATTCGAGTTCCGCCCGGTCTCAGTCTTCACTTTTACAGAAAAAGCTTCCAACTTCATAGGATGTAATGCTGCAGTGCAAACCTCTGTAGATTCTACTGCCTACCAAAGCCTAATAAATTCTTCATGTGCTTGAGCCTCGTTTATATAATTATTACGAGTTATGATAGTGTACCGAAGAAATGTTTGATGTGATGTAGTGTGTGTGTTGAAAACGATTGTAATGTGTGTCTATGTTTATATAGTTCTTGTATAAATCAAGATGTTTATAGCTGAGCCAGACCGATGTATTTCCACTACGATAAAATTTTTAACAACACAAATCAGCCACTGAAAGTAGTTCTCATCGCCCGTCTAACTGGAGCGTCTGCTCGACCGGATTTCGTGATTGGCTAATCTCGTTGTGTCGTCATCGATTCGCATCTTTGAAAACAGCGGACTACTGCGTTTTGTGCCATTTTAGAGTTGCTTTCGATGTGAGAAATTACGAAGCCATATAGTTACGAACGTGGCGTGTTTTATTTTTTTAGTTTTTTTTAAATCAAATGTTATTATTATGCGAGAATCAGAGCTACTGAAATTGGATGTTTAAGACGAGAAGAAAAAGTTGAAGGAAAAGAAAAAAAAGGTTGTGTTCATGTCTTCATGTCACTGCAGCTTAGTACGGTGATGTCGACTAACACCTCCGAGATAGTTACAAGCAGCGCCGGAAAACAGGAACTACACTTCCATCAAAGCTCACCTATGTTCGGCTCTATGATGATAGACACTAATTCCAGCACTCCTTACACTGATGCAACTCAATGTAAAAAACCTGCGAACCACATCAAACGTCCCATGAATGCGTTTATGGTTTGGAGCCAAATCGAACGCCGAAAGATTTGTGAACAGCAGCCGGACCTGCATAACGCAGAGATCAGCAAGCAACTAGGGAAACGTTGGAAACTGTTGACGGAGAAGGAAAGACAGCCTTTCATTCAAGAGGCCGAAAGGCTCCGGATCCTCCACTTGCAAGAGTATCCAGATTACAAATATCGACCCCGGAAAAAGGCGAAACCTACTACAGTACAAGAAAAGAAATCTCCTACGAAACACAAAATATCGTGCGATAAGAAAGGCCTCAAGTCAGTTAAACAACCTCGAGTTCAGCAAAATGGTCAGCTGATTGCAACTCCTGTAATCTTCAGCAATGTGAACCACAATAGATTGAAATTAAAGCTCACAATAGACAAAAATTTTAAAGAAAGCTTTAGGCCAGTTAAACAAGAATCGCGGCAAATCGGTCAGTTTAAATCGTCTGGTAAAGTACCAGGTTCCCCTTCAGAAGATGAGCCTGCCTCTCCCGAAAGTGCTAACATCAGTCTATACGATGATATTGTGGGTAAAAAAATGGCTTTAGGTGAATTGCCAAAACCTGCAGCTAGCCACGAAGTTGAGTGTACAACTGGTCTTGTGGATAACAGTTTGGCCGACCTAGATGCCCTCACCGAAGCCCTACAACTTCCATCAACGTGGGCAGAAGAATTAAGGAGCCTCAACATTACCGAACTTCCTGATCTCGCTTCTCAGGAGACTGGCAGCTCCAGCTCCAGTTCCCACTTCGAGTTTCCTGATTACGGCTACTCGGAAGTTTCTGATATCTTAGGTGGCGATTGGCTAGACTCTAATCTCTCGTCCTTAATTAATTGTTAGTGACTTTAAAGTTTTCGTGACTGTGTCTTATTATTCGTAAATGGGTGATGACTTTTGTCATTCCTTTCTGAACAAATTATGACTCCCTACACGTCTCACGTTCGTGGGTAGAAAGTCATATTTAAGGTTTGATAATATTCTTTGAAAGTGATGTAAAAATTCAATAGTCGCGAATCCAGTAAATTGAGTGTGTGCAGTATTTCACGTGTTTCGTGACATAGTTTAAATCATATGTGGAATATACGACGAACAAGATTGTGTCTTATCACTAACAGTTCTGACAACAGTTTTATGGGACATGTAAGAACCGGATGGCTATACAACGAACAAAAAGTACATATTTCATTTCTGTGAGTTATCTTTACTGAAATGAAAAAAAAAACTTTAAATTATTAATAGTTTTACCTTAGACTTACATTTCAAGATCTAAATAAATCTACAAAAAATTTCTTAAAGAAAAATACCCATGTTATCTTATATTCAGTTGTATCTTTACCACCTGGTGAGATCCAAATTATAAATTATGATAGCACTAGTAAATATTTATGTTCTGTCAAAAATAATAAAATAATCTGTCATTCTTTGCGATGCAAAACATTATCTTTAAAAGTAAAAACATAAGATAAGTATATTTAATTAGTTATAATCATTACTAGGTTGATTTTTAGCTTTTATTTAAGTAGGTATCTTGTTCTGATGAGAAATTAATATTAATTATTTGATATTTAGAAACAAAAGGCATTTGTTCTTAGAGTCCGAGGAATCTGGAAGTTTTGTGCTATGTAATGCCCTAAACGCTGATTACCGCAGCTAATACGTCTTCGGATTTGTCATTGCTCTAAAGTAAAATGGCGTTTCCACAATTTTTAGGATTTCCAATGGTAAAATTTGGTGTATGGCACTCTCGTGATATTAATAAAATGTTTTATTTTCTTTTATGTTAAAAATTAGTTTTACTTATACCAGAGTTTATTTGAAAAGTTACCAAGACCCCCTGAGAATTGTGAGGAAAAAGATCACGTTACCAATAGCATCTCTACAGTGTTGTGTTGTTTTTGTCTGCATAGTTTATTTTAGTCGTTTCCCTTTTTTTTTGTGACTTCGAGCGAATGAGAACCATAGTTATGCTACTGTACTTAAGTAACAATGGACAAGTTTATAAGCAGTTCGTCACAGCGTGTTCTAAAGTGTATATCGGCTCGTTTGTTAAGGTGATAATGTAAAAGTGTCGTGTGTGTATGTCAGAAATTTTGAAAGTTTTTAGAAATATAATCACAATTTATTACTCAAGATGTGTAATCACGTGATATTTCAATGCGTATGATAAGTAGTTAGTAGTCTAGCTTTTAGTAAAAGTTTTAGCCATTTAAGGGCGAATAATTCATATATTTCGTCAGCTGGAAGTCGAATCACATTTTATGCTTAAATGTTCAAGAATCTGGAAGATGTTCGACGCGAGGATTGAGCTTATTTAATAATGTAGTTTATTTCCAAACAGTCCTATTTGTGTTTTTTTTTAGCTCTCATACTTTGAGCCTGAATGTATTGCTTTTCTTTGATAAACGTTTACTTCAAGGTAATCAAATTGGCAAAAAAAAAATGATGTTCTTGTGAAGACGAATTATTTTCAGCCACCCTTACATAGCTTCGAATACTTCGGAATTATTGAATTAAAAAGTAATAAGTTTCGAAGAGTAGCTTGGAATTTAAGTGTGCGAATACTTGCCCTGAAAAAAAATAATTTCGAAATGACTTCGTGCTTTATCCACTCAGAAAATGATTTATAATATTGCTTATTATATCAGGAAAATAATGAGTAACACTTACTGTTGATTCCTGTATTTTCAAGACTTTCAACAGCACTAATACAGTAGCCTTAAAGATAAAATAATTTTCTGTTAGAACTATAAGTTACTTTAGGATTACCTTATACATTTTTTCAGTAAAAACAAAAGAGCTTCGTTTTGGTATTGGATGGTATCATTGACGTGTAAGGTGTCGCCGTACAACACGTTATAGGGAAGTACGAGTTGTAATAGTTACATTGTTCAGTTTTAAAACTAATCCAGGTTGAGTGCTTGTTAACATCGTTTCTGTTTCTCGAAGTGCTTGTACGAAAACTACTTGTAATTGTCTACCTTGTAGGGCTCATTTTATTACCTCATAAAATATAGTAACTTAATACAAAGGATTGATATAAGGTTGTAAAAAGTAATATGAATAAACTTGTTGACTTGAAACAAACAAATGGGGAAAAAATGATTAAAGATAAGTTAAAGGGAACTGAAGGAAAAACAATGGGTACTTACCTCAAAAAATTTCATTGCTTGTAAGCAGGGCATTACTTATCGTAAAAAACTTATTGCTTGTAAGGAGGGCACGACTTACCACAACTAACTTACTCCATATAGGAATAGCATGGCTTACCCAAACAACTTACTGTTTGGAAGAAGAGCATGACTTACAACAAATAAGTACTTGTAGGTAGGACACGGCCTACCACAACTAACTCACTGCTTTTAGGAAAGGCATGACTTACCACAACTAACTCACTGCTTGTAGATAGGACATGACTTACCACAACTAATTCACTACATGTAGGAAGGACATGACATACCACAACTAACTCACTACGTGTAGGAAGGACATGATTTACCACAACTAACTCACTACGTGTAGGATAGACATGATTTACCACAACTAACTCACTGCTTGTAGATAGGACATGATTTACCACAACTAACTCACTGCTTGTAGATAGGACATGACTTACCACAACTAATTCACTACGTGTAGGAAGGACATGACTTACCACAACTAACTCACTACGTGTAGGAAGGACATGATTTATTAAGATAATTAACGCATGTAAATTTATATTATGCCATTAATTCACAATATGTTGAATACAGAGATTGTCCTAGAATTAATAACCAGATGAAAGAAATTACTCGTAAAATATAGCTTGTTTTCATTTGTCTACATGACTATTGGATTAAACCGAGTCTAATAAGATCTTTAAACTCTTCACTTTTGATTTGATTTTAAACATTCAAAATTTCTATTGACTCACGGTATAAGTTTGGCTAACGACTGTCAACATACAATGACGTAAACCAACAGTATCCACAGAGAAGTCAACGTTGAAAAGCCAAATTTGGATTAGATCTTAAAAGTTACATTAATACTTGGTTTTTAGTTGCATTTTATATCAATGGTATTCTATTTTCGGACATTCTGTAATATTATTTATACATATACTTAATCATGTTATGATATATGGTAAGTTTTACCGGATGTGAAAAAGTAGCTGTCGTGTGTATTTAACTATCGCATTTATAATATTGTATATGCGTCTCTCCCCTCGATAATGTAGCATGGTTCAGTCCATCTACAGCTTGATGTAAGTAAACTATAGGTGGCGACTCTCCAGGTAAACTGTTAGTTTCATGTATGTAATTTTAAGAATAAACAATATTTTATACTTGGAGTAATTGGAGAGTTTGAGAAAACTATTTTCTACGTTTCCTACGAATTTTGTACTGTAGTTTCGTACACCTTTCATGTTTTGTACGAAAAGGTGCATTGATTAAAACCATATTAATTTCATGTTTTGTACGAAAAGGTGCATTGATTAAAACTATATTAAGCCACTGTTGTTGTTTTTTTCTTCCTTTTTTATTTTGCTCCTTTGACCAGAATTCATATTCGCGGCTGCACAAAAGTTTTTTTTACATATTTCTTCGCCAAAAAAAAACTACGTTAGGTTCATATCATTCGTGTTTTACTCTATTAGTATCACGGACTGATGAAGGAAAGCACCAACTGAGATAATAGTATTTCACACGTATAAAAATGATTTAAAAAAAAAAGGATAAAGTTCCTAAAAAATACTTCTTCTAAAATGAAATAATGAAAAATCCTATATTTTTCAACTTTCGTTTTTGTCACACTATTATTTTCAAACTTCTCTTAAGTGTACTTAACTGCTTCTATAGCACTTTATTATTTAAAGATGCTATCCTGAATGTTAGCATGTTAAACCTAAGTCAACATTAATGTGAGTAAATGGAAGGGAATTAGTAGATCAAGTAGGAAACACATGAAACCGAATGAAAACTTAACCTCACCCATAACTTGGAACTCACTAGTCGATTTTATTATTATTAAATCCAAACAGCATTTTCAGCGCCCGATTTCTAATCACGACTGTATGACGCCCGAAAGCCTCCTATTAACGAGTTAGGCTGAAAAGCTATTTTAGAACTGAGTGCTATTAGATATAGTTCTTAACCACTAGTATTTTTTTTTTTATATACAAGTCACGATTGCTCTCTTCAAAACCCGCCCTGTTTTGAGTCTATAGAGAGAGTCAACTGTTTGGCTGTGGGACGAATGACCTTGTGACACTCGTACACATTTCTTTTGAGCACCGGAAGAAGGACGCCAATAAAGTTAGTAAGTAGTGGCCATACAAAAAAGTAAACCATTTCTAATAAAATTGACGAGTATATTCATACTGATGCATTTTTGTCAAAGGAAAGAAATGGAACAACATGCTTGTTTTGAATTTCGCGCAAAGCTACACGAGGGCTATCAGCAATAGCCGTCCCTAATTTAGCAGTGTAAGACTGGAGGGAAGGCAGCTAGTCATCCCCACCCACCGCCAACTTTTGGGCTACTCTTTTTACCAACGAATAGTAGGATTGACTGTCACATTATAACGCCCCCACGGCTGAAAGGGCTAGCATGTTTGGTGTGACGGGGATTCGAACCCGCGACCCTCAGATTGCCTTGACCTACCTGGCCATGCCGGGACAGAACAGCATGCACCACCAATATTACTATTACAAAGCACATTAACTAACACAGCAGCAAAACTGTGTATCTTCTTTTACTTTGACTCAAAATATTGACAAATCAAATTATCTATACAGTAAACGAACGATTTTATGTAATTAAATCTTGCATTTGGACTTTCGAATAGACAAAGAAAACGTGACATCATTTTTACACCCATAAATAAATATAATTTTCATCATGTTTTATTGTTTGCGGAATTATTTATATCCTCCAGGTGTTTTTATTATTCTGTAAATTATTGTGTTTGGGCAGCATATAAGAAAACAGAATTTAGGTATACACCTGGCATTACCCTATCCAGAACAAACGTAACTATAAAATCAATAAATTATCCATAACAAACGTAAGGTAATTACAAATTCATTAAACTATCCAAACAAACGTAAGGTAACTACAAATTCATAAGCTATCCAAACAAACGTAAGAAACTATAAGGTCATTAAGTTATCCAGAAAAACGTAGCCTGACAACAAATTCATTAAGCATATCGGAACAAATGCAACTTAACTAATAAATCATTAGGATATCCAGAAAAAAAACATAACGTAATTAAAAGTCATTAAGTTGTCCAGTAAAAACGTAACTACAAAGCCAGTAAACTATCTAGAACAAACGTAACGTAACTATAGAAACATTAAGCTATCCAGAACAAAGATAACGTAACTACAAAGTTATAAATTATGCAGTACAAACTTAATGTAAGCAGAAAGTCATTACTGCTGTAGGGTAGGGAGGAAATT